CTCAAACGCAGGACCTTAAAATGTCCTACTGCCATGCTTGAACACCTTCCCCCACTGCTAAAAACAAAATTAGTCTACTTGTTTTTCTTTTTAAAGTAGGCTCCACGCCCAATGTGGGGCTTGAACTCATAACCCTGAGCTCAAGCGTGGCAACCTCCACCAACTAAGCCAGCCAGGCGCCCCCCCAAACTAGTTTACTTCTAATTTATCCTTAAAAACTCAATGTAAGTGTCACATCCTAGGTTCCCCAGGTTGCACCGGGTGCTTCCCTTCTGGGTTCCTACTGCCCCCACCTTTCTGTGGAAACAGTCACTCTACCTCTGCTATCCTTGCTTTATTCATTGTTTCCTGTCTCTCTTTCTTAACAGCAGGTTCCTGGAGGTCTGCACTGGGGTGAGGGTTTGACTAATGTCTGAGCTCCAGTTCCCAGCTTGGGGCTTGCTGCATGAGAGGGGCTTGGCAAACAAGCGCCAAAGAGAAGGCAGGCAGGGCAGCAGGGCTGGGATGGAGCCTGAGCTAAGAATGAGGGAGCGGAGCAAAGTCTCTGCAGATTGCAGAGATGAACACAGTCTGGGTTCAGGGAGGAAAAGGGACTGTCAACCCATCCTACCGCACATAAGGTACACTCTAGTCCCACTCTGGTCTCTCCACACAGGAGGTGCTGGGCCACTGCTAGTAGAGACCAACAGGGTGCTCATCCCAGATTCCCGTGGTCTCCCTTCCCTGCAAGCCTCCCCCTCACCGCTACCCCCTCACCATCTGGTTCATTGCAGTAGGTTGCCGGGTCTGACTGCAGGCTGTAGAGGCGAGCCTGTAAGAAATAAAGAACAGAAATTCTGGAGTGCTAGGTGGAGAAAGCACCCCCTCTCTGACAGCATAGTCTACCACTGTTGTTGATTTAGGTGCTCAGAGACTGATCATTCCCCTGTACATTTATTCCCATTTGGAAATCAGCCTCAACCCAGCCTCTCCCCTGCTGGCTGCCAGACCCCACAGGGCACCTGTCAGCTTGCCCATGGCTAGAAAGGGGAATACTGGGCTAGGAGTGAAAAACTGAGGCTCCTGGAAAAATGGTCTCCCCTAGTATTCCACCTGGGGAATTAAGATACAGTGTAAGCAGGCTATAAGCTTGTATGTATAAAACGCTTTTGAATTGTGTGAAACCTGAAAAACATTAGTGCAAATACACTAATAAAGTCCAAATTCATGGGCAAAATTTGAAATAATGTATCTCCCCAAATTGAAAGCATTCATCAAGAACTTTTCTTTTTTTTTTTATTACGTTTCTTTATTTTTGAGAGGCAGAGAAAGACAGAGCACGAGTGGGGGAGGGGCAGAGAGAGAGGAAGAAGACACAGGATCGGAAGCAGGCTCCAGGCTCTGAGCCGTCAGCACAGAGCATGACACGGGGCTCGAACTCACGAACTGTGAGACCAGGTCCCGAGCCAAAGTCGGACGCTCAACCGACTGAGCCACCCAGGCGCCCCAAGAATTTCTTAATTCCATAGCCAGTCTGCCGAGTGAATTATCTGCCATGTTCCCGGTAAGGCCATAGGAGTGGCAAACTTTAGCTGGTCAACAGAAGACCCCACCTCCCCTCCTCAATGTTACGTGGAGCAAAGGCCAGCTGTCTCCGTTAGAGCTTCAGCAAGTGGCTTTGGTGACTTACAGCTGTTAGAATTTAAAATCCTACAATTTAGGAAATTTCACACTCCCACTCAAATGTCCACTAAGTGGTTGGTATTGATACTAGTGCTGGCAGATATGCTTGACAAATCAGTAGGTTTGGAAAGGAAATTCAATGCCAACCTGCTGTGACATCACGCTATGAATTTAGGAGAAAATACTCCATGAACCGTGAAGAAGTAATGTGAGAAGATAAAATGTGGAAGAAATACGCTACCACTGTTGTTGATCTAAGTGCTTTGAAGACATCCTCCCCCCATACGTGGATTCCCACTGGAAATCAGCCTTAACCCAAACGGGGAGAAGATCATACCTGTACAGCATTCCTTATCAAGGCTGAAAGCTGAAAGGACTCCCCAAGAGCAGCACTACAGAAATGACTGGAATAATTATGCTCTGTTCACTTCCAAGAATGTAAATAATTAAAAGGATGGTAAGAAAGATGCTGATATTTTTTATATATGTTTTTACAGCAGGTTATAAAATTCGATGTATAAAGTGCTTTTTTTGTTAAAAAGAAAGAGTTCAAACTATCTTTACCAATGTTTGTAAACAAAAAGAAATGAAAGGTTATAGCCAAACAAGAAATAAGTGGTTCTCTTTCAGTGATGGGATTATGGATTTAGCGATAATTATCTTCTTGATTAGTACTATTCTCCAGTATAGTTATACACATATACTTATTTTCTGGCCTGAACACATACTGCTTTTATGAGTGCACATTGGAAGATGGCATCTAGTGCTGTTAGGCACCTGCAGGGGAGGCTGCTAATGAATACCTTGGTGCCATCATAGGGCTCAGCTGTGCCAGAGGGTGTGCCCATCAGGGTGATGACATCGCAGTCTATGGTCTTGTCTGGTGAGGGAGCGAAGGTGTCGGAGATCACCCCTAGGAAGTCAGACAACCCCTTCTTCATCTTCTCTGTTGCCCCCGAGGAGCCTTCAGTCTGCAGAGAGAAGCGGAAGAGGAAACAAGTGGCCCAGGAGCAGGCTGCAAGTTAGAGTTTGGGCTACTGAGGGGTAAAGCGTCAGGGGCAAAGGAAGCATCAGGGGTAAAGCATCCCTGTGTAGGGACCAGAGAAGTGCTCATGGCCTCTTACCCCATCTCTGAGGTTGGAGAAGGACAGAAGTAGCCAGGGTCCCCAGACACCAGAAGAGGGTGTGGAACAGGACCCCAGTAGGCCTATACAGTCAGAGCAGAACTCCCTGACTGGCTGTTTCATCAAAATTTCAAGGCTAGTCATAGTGATCAAAAACTGGCAGGAGAGGGGATGCTCGGATGGCTCAGTTGGTTGAGCATCCGACCCTGGATTTCGGCTCAGGTCACGATCTTTCAGTGCGTGGGACCGAGTCCTGAGGTGGGCTCTGCGCTGACAGCAAAGAGCCTGCTTGGGACTCTCTGTCTCCCTCTCTCTTGCCCCTCTGCTGCTCATGCTCACTTGCTCTTTCTCTCAAAATAAATAAATAAACATTTAAAAAAATGGGCAGGATAGGATGCATGCTGTACACACTCTGTGGGGAAGGGGACCTGTGGGTGGAGTGGTGGGAAAGGTACTAGTTTTGGAGACCTAACCCCCTCTGAGTCAGCTTCCTGATCTGTAAAATTAGGACAAACAGACTTCCTTCAGAGGGCTGCTGTGAAAAATAAAAAAGATCAGGCATGTACAAGCCTGGCATAAAACAAACATCTGCTAACTAGCAGTACTGTAATATCACAATGTCATCATCATTGTTGCTCAGGAAGTAGAACATTCTCTATGAAAGACCGGGGACATATGGGCAGGATGAGAACACATATCCTTGCCTAGACGCAAACCTGGGACCAGCTGAGGGCCAACGTATGCATTGTCTAGAAGGGGCAAGTGAGACACCAAGCTTGAGCCACACTGGCCGGGATATCCTTGAACAAGCAGAAATAGGATGTTGACAGGGCCAGGCTCTAAAAACCTCGTGGAAACCATAGCATTTACTCCTGATTAGGCTATCCAAGCATTTTACACCCGGAATCTATCAGCATGCCTGGCACATGCTAGCACAGATATACAATCATATTTGTCAAATGAAAAAAAAGGAATAAATAGCCACCTGGGTGGCTGAGTTGGTTAAGCGACTGACTGTTGATTTTGGCTCAGGTCATGATGTCACGGTTCCTGAGATGGAGCCCCACATCAGGCTCTGAACTGACAGTGAGGAGCCTGGTTGAGATTCTCTCTCTCCCACTCTCTCTCTGCCCCTCCCCTGCTTGCTGGATGTCTCTCTCAAAAATAAATAAATAAACACTAAAGAAAGAAAGAAAGAGAGAGAGAAAGAGAGAGAGAAAGAGAGAGAGAAAGAGAGAGAGAGAAAGAAAAGAAAGAAAGAGAAAGAAAGAGAGAAAGAAAAGAAAGAGAAAGAGAGAGAAAGAAAAGAAAAAGAGAGAAAAAAGAAAGAAACAAAGAAAGAGAAAAGAAAAGAAAAGAAAAGAAAAGAAAAGAAAAGGAAAGAAAAGGAAAGAAAAGAAAAGAAAAGGAAAGAAAAGGAAAGAAAAGAAAAAGAGGCGCTGGGGTGGCTCAGTCAGTTAAGCGTCCAACTCTTGATTTCAGCTCAGGTCACGATCTCACAGTTTGTGAGTTCAAGCCCCACATTGAGCTCTGTGCTGACAGTGCAGATCCTGCTTGGGATTCTCTCTCTCTGTTCCTCCCTCACTTGTGCTCTCTTTCAAAGTAAACTTTAAAAAAAATAAAAATAAAATTTTAAAAAGGAATAAATAAACGGAAAAAATGAGTGGTGTCTCTGCTGCTGGCTGGACCCTAGCAGTTCAGCAGGATTACTATCTGTCACTCCTGCTCATGCTCATGAGTAGCTGTGATTAGCCCGCAGACAGTATTTTACAAGAGGAGTCAACAAAATTAAGGTTGGCTAAAAGAACTCCAAAACATGTTTTTCATAACATGCCTTCTAATCTCAAGGCAACTGATTCAGCTGGAGATCAGATGAAGAAAGTGCAATTTCCCCAATACTAAAGGAGAAACTGTTCATGCAAAACCTATATATTATACTTCATCGGAAGCTTGAGCTTTGCAGGGATAGCCAACCATACACTATTTTCACTTTTCACACTCACTTTAGAATCTAAATCCTATCTCACAAAAAGATTCTGCCACACATCTTTGATTAATAAAAACAGGGCCCGTAAGAATAGAAGTTGGCACAACCTTTCTGGAGGGTAGTTTTGCAATAAATATTAAAAGGCCTACAACTGTACTCACCGTATGATCCCTTCTAGTATTTTATTATAAAGAAAATATGAAGGGCAAAGATTTAGCAATCAGAATGTTTACTGTAGCTCTGTTTATCCAGTACCAGAAAAAAATGAAATAGGAAACTAGGAACTGGTTAAACCTACAGAACAAAATAACAAGCCATTTATGATGCTGGAGAATGAGGTTTGCAATGATTAAGCCAGAAAGTAGGTTATAAACCGTGATATTCAGTTGATTCCAGTTTTGAAAAAGAAAGTGGACAAAGTGAAAAAGAACGAGGAACATACTCCCCAAATATTAACAGTCGTTACCTCTGGGAGATGGAACTAGGTCTTTCTTTTTCTTTTACTTACGTGTATTTTCTAAACTGTCTACAGTGAATGACTTTGCCAGAAGGAAAACATTTGCTAAAACAATACAGAAATGGGAGAGCTTATTAATACTTATTCTATATAGCTTGTTTGCTTGACAGACATAATTCTTTCAAAGTGGGAGCCTATGGGGGAAAAACAATCCCTTAATAGCAGAAAGGTTGGGGTATCAGGCTGTGAAGGACAGTCACTCAGAGCGTGAAGGGAGTACTCACAGCTAGCTTCTCCTTGACCACACTGGCTGTGGCTGCAATGGTGCAGGCCGTGTCATGCTGGACCACCTGGGTGAACTCTGTCAGGTCTCGCTTCATGAACTCCAAGGCTTCGGAGGACTACGGGGAAGACAAGAGAGGGATGACAGAGCCAGCTGGCTCCACTACCCTTTGTTCCTGTTCCCGGGGCTGCTTCTATCCCAGACAGACACATGGAAACCTCAAGTGACATGGGAAGCCTCAGCACAGAAACAATGATTGCCTGTCCCAATCCCATGACCTGGGATTACCGAACAGCAGAGAGTACAGAGGGACTCCCTGCAGCTCTGAGAATCGGGATGAGACTCAGCCCTGACCTTTACAAGCTCTGTGGCCACAAGTAACTCTCATCTAGTTTCAGTTTTCTCCTGAGGGAGGTACACTAAATCGGTGGTTCAAGAGCAGACTGGGGAAGGGGGTGCACACAGTCCGGAAACGAAAGACTCCGATGCATTGCTCTGAAATCCTTTAAGTCATGACATTTGTTTCAAATTTCAAGTAACCTGAAGAAAAGGTGTGTGATTTTTTTTAATCAAGGGAAAGTGTTTCTATTTTTATTTATTTATTTATTTATTTATTTATTTATTTATTTATTTATTTTTCAACGTTTATTTATTTTTGGGACAGAGAGAGACA